ACCACGAGAAATACCACTCCCCCTTGTTACCTCATATGGCCAGTAAGGGGCAGGGGTAGCCCGCCAGGCCGTGGGATCGGGGCAGGGGAGGAGGAAAAACTAGTCCATTGCAGAGTCTGTGCTTCTCATCCCAGCAGGCGCTGGGCAGGGGCCCGCCTGCCCCACCAGTAACACTTGTGGTGGTGGCAGACAGGGTGGGGCTCTCAGGAAGGGGCAGGAACAGATTTCAAAGCCACAGTTCAACATCATGCAGTATCCACAGTGGGCACCAAGAGGGGATAAAGGGTGGGCACCACACCCATCTGCCTTGGGCAAGAGTGGGGAATGGTGCCCACCTGGGGAGGGGATGTGGGGTAGTTGCAGCTCCAAAACTGGGGGGAGGGGTTGCCAGGCAGGAAACTGGTATAGACTGGTGCCCTGTGGACTCACTCAGCAGTGCCCCCTCACCCAGCCAGGCCTTATAGGATTCTGTATATATTAATTTCTTTTTTTTTTTAACTTTTTGATTTTTTCTTTAGAAAAAGGCTGGGTCCAGGCCCTGGGCTGGCATCCACCACCCCTCATGCCCGCCCAGAGGCGGGGTATGGCTTTGAGGGGAGCAGAAGCCCCTGGTGCCCATTTGCCAAGGGATGGGAAAGGAGGGAGGAATAGAGAGGAGCCCTGCTGGGCCCACCAACCCGCAGGGCAAACATTCCACTCGCACAGAGGGAAGGGGGTGGCCCAGCCTCCTCTCAGGCTTCCCGCACCCCTTCCCACTGTGGCACATTAAGGATGAGAAGAGAGTAGAGGAGCTCTGAGAGGCAGATGGGCAAGCACCACCCCAGAGGTCCAGGTGAGCCAGAGCCAGGCCTAGGTGAGAGTGATGTAGGCAGAGGCCTTCTCTTTCAGGTGCCGAAGACACAGGTGACAACTCCAGCTCCCTGTGGGGTGGCCAGAGGACAGGGAGTTAGGCCCAGGTCCAGGGAGGGCTGCTCAGCCCCTCCTATCCAGAGGGCAAGGTCTTCACCAGCAAGAAGACAACTTTCTAGCCCACCCACCCCAGTGTCATGCCCACCTCTTCTCTCACCTTCCGGGGGCTCCGCCATGGGGGGGCTCAGGCAGTACATGTGGTAACCCCGATCACAGTCATCACAAAACAGCAGCTGGTCCTGGGGGGGTGAGACCCGCCCAGTTGGCACCCTGGGAGCACAGGCACTAGATATCGGGGTGAGGGGCTGGGGCAGGGGCTAGTCAAAGGGACTGGGGGAGGTGGGCCCTTCTGAAAGAAAGGGCTCCCAGAGGTCTGGGCCACAGAATCTTCGAAAACCCTGCTTAGCCGAGCAAAACACCCCTGAGCACTGTAAGTTGGCAATCTGTAGTGCAGGCTTTATCATATCTTATGGAACACTTAAAATGACACTGAGATGGCCTGATACCAGCTCCAAAAACAGTGGACGTGGGTCCAGGCCCCAGCTATGCCATTTCCCTAGCTGGCTGACCTTGGGCAAGTTATTTCCCCTCTCTGTGAAGTGGGAACACAGGCACCTGCCTCAGAGGGTGGTTGGGAGGAGTCAGAAAGATGAAAAGTATTAAGTACCAGGCTCAATGAATGGCCACTAACAATAATAATAATACAGGTTACTAGTGGTCACCAGCAAGGGGGCTCCAGGAAAAGGCTTTAGTCCCAACCGGCAAAGGCGGAGGTGCCAAGTGGGGAGGCCAATGGGATATGTCCTGGGGAGGTGGGGGCAGGGCACTCACATCATTCTCCGAGGTGCCACACAGGCTGCAGGACTTGCACTCGATGCACTGCCAGCGGTAGGTCCGAACGGCCGCTGTCATGTTCACCGTGAACTGTAAACACGAGGGGTGTCCTGGGGGCCGAGGGGCAGGGATGCGGTTAGGGGTCATCATGTCCCTGGTGACTACAGGCGCGGGGGAAGAAATGACTCAGCCCTTACCCCTGGCTCATAATGATGAGCTTCTGTGGTCCACAGCCTAACCCCACTCTGTCCAGGGTGCACGGCACCCTACTGCAAGCAGCACTACTGTGGCTACCAGTCTCCTACCCAGCCACCATGGCAACCGCATTCCATTACCCACAGTGCTGTGGCAACCACCTCCTACCACCCACAACACTGGGCAGCTACACTCTGTTAACCACTGTGTGGAGAGAACCACATAACGTAGCAACCACATTCTCCCAGCCACAATGCCATGGCAACCACCATTCACAGTCAGGGGGCATTCCAGAGTTCCTTGCAACCTAAGCCTGTTATACAGGATGCCCCAGCAACCAAACTGTTAATAGCAATACTCGGCAATGCCAATCCGCCAGTCCCCAAGTGCCACAACTACATTCTACTACACCCAATTGCCATGACAACCATATTACACTACCCACAATACCATGACAACCACAATTCATTAACCACTGGGCTGAGGCAACCACTGTCTGTCACCCACAAGTCCACCATGAGAAACCACATCTATTAACCACAATTCCATGGTCCCCTCTGTTATCCACAGTACCCAGGCAGTGGCAATGCATTACTCAATTGTCACAGCCCACTACCCACATGCCTTGGCACAGCTCTCACTACTCCCCACCAGATAGCACATCACTACTGGCAATGCCAGACAACCACATCCCATTATCCCAAGAGCTCCTGATCCCACTCAGTCCCACAATCTCAGCAATGAAGTCAGCTCCACGGA